GAGAGAGAGAGAGAACGGGAGGGCAAGCTCGTGAAAGCGGTTAGATCGAGTCTCAAAGAGGGGAGGGTGAAACGGGATTGCCCAATTCCCCCAGTTTCTCGCTTCGATCGCTTTCTTTTTACAGCTTGAGAAAAATGGAGAGATTCGTTCGAGAAGAACGTGATTCATGGTCACGAAAAGCTTCTGATCATTGCCTTTCCAGAATCGCACAGGATTTTTGCGCGACTGATCCTGCAAGATTTAAGATCGCCCCCCCGCCCCTCCAAAATTAATGTATTCGCGAATCCTAAAGATTTTTAACACAGATTATAAAATATCTTTGCGATTTTTCATATTGAATGAAGTTATTAGATTTTTTTACAATTCATATTTTTAGAGTTTTTCTCAGATCACAAACATCTTCAAAATTTTGAGCTTTGTGTCATATAAATTTTTAGCTCTCATAGAAAATTTGAAATTATCTAACTAACATTAACATAGAAATTTAATTATTTTTTATACAGAAATAATTAAATTAAAATTACTTTCATATTTAAATATGCTTAAAAATTTATAAAAATTTATAAATCTTGAAAATTAAATTTCTAATTTTTCAAAGGTTTCAGTATTAGTCTTCAAATGTTAAATTCTTTTCCTCGAAATTTCAGTTCGGAAATGTTCAACTCTTAGTAATGCCCACCCATACCCTTCCTTGAGATTCCCGCAGCAGATTTCCAATTTACATCGATGGCGGCGATCGATCCTTTCACCTCGCGAGCTCATCCATTTTTTCGAATCCTTTGCAGGCAACACCAAGACCCTGTTGTCCACTAATGCGAGAGCGATGCCGTTACGACGCGCGGCGACGATGCGGGCGCACAACGGCGCGATGGGCGCGAGTCAGATTCTGAAGCAGAGCAATCCGTCGTCGCCAAATCTACTCCGATGCTCGGGTGGGCAGGTGCGTAGTCATCACTCGCGCAACAGCAGCGTAATTTCCCGCAACAGTTCCCGCCACGGCAGGATCATCCGGTTGGAGCAGAAGGCGACCAAGGTCCTGGGCGTCGTGTTCTTCACATTCGTGATCCTCTGGGCACCCTTCTTCGTGCTGAATCTAGTGCCGGCTGTGTGTCCCGATTGCGAACGTCGCATTGATCGCAAGATCTTTGACCTGGTCACCTGGCTCGGCTACGCCAGTTCAATGGTCAACCCGATCTTTTACACCATCTTCAACAAGGTCTTCCGTCAGGCGTTCAAAAAGGTGTTGCTCTGCAGGTATCGAAGTCAAGAGTGGCGAGTACCGGCCAGGTAGGCCCTAGGCCCCGGGAGACCGGGGATCGCCATCAGCAGAGTGTAAACGATGGAAACGGAAAACCGGTACGCGAACTGTTGATGAATTAGAAGAATGAAGAGAGTCAAAGAGACAGACTCGACAAGTAAGATCAAACTCATCGGATGGTGCTATTTCTACTCGCGCGATTGGCTTGTTTCGAGAAACATTATGTAACTTGAAGACTTGAATAGTTCACACTCTTGAATATCGATTGTTGCTGGATTAAAAGTTCGCTATCGAACTTTCCTATTAGCGGCCTCCTGTTAATGTTTCGTGTCCAATAATAATTTTAACGAACTAAAAATATTTTTTTAAATCTTCCTATAGTAGCTCCTACGTATACTAATAATACTTCATATCAATTACATATCAATATTCAATAATATGTAATATATAATGAAGCCTATTTTAATAGTTTTATATTTAAAAGTAATTAATATTTCCTAAAAAATATTTTATTATGACGAAATTCAAAAGTCTCCTTTATTAGGATTATTTTTGATAACTCAAATAATCACATGAAATATTTTTAATTGTATATAAATTTTTATTTGTTTATACGTATAATTTTATATTTTATAACTTTTATTTTCATTATTTCTTATTTAAACATATTTTTCGTATTAGATAATAATTTCCGTCCTAATTAATATTTAATTACAATCAAATTTAAATTCTATTTTAGTAATTTACAGATAATTTTCTTTATAAATGTACAATTTCTCGAATATTTCTCTTGCATTTAAAGCAATCTTTCCGATAGCTTGATCGCGCGAGAATTCGAAACGCGAGTGAACAATCTGACTAATAATTCGATAAAAAAATTGTAACATAAAACTTCCAAATACGCTTCCTGTAACCACAAAATCACCCGATAAACTATCACCAACTAATTAAATTCCCAATTAAATTTCCCTAATTAAATCCCGCACGAAATAACGAGGAATTTGTAAATAAAAACCAAGCAATGTGCATTTAATATAATTATGATTAAGAATTTAGAAGAGCGTTATGTATGCGTGTGCCTATATAATTGTAAAAATATATAAATATGTAAGTTGTCGTTAATGAAAATGGTGCTGATGCGAAAATTGTGTCAAGAGTGAAGTCATCGAAGAACGAAGAGAGAAATTCGACAGAACTAACTAAGTGATCGATAGAGACTCATTACTGACGTGCAATATCGTCGATATATATAAAAAAAATATCCCGAGAAACCCTTCTTTCGTTATTTCTGGCATGTAAATTCGCCGCGCAATAATTAAAGAGATACGACAAGTTTCTTTTTATTATCCCTCGATTATTTTAACAGAACGCAGTACGATTAACTTCAACATGTCTCATTTTTTTTTAATGAGAATTTTCGAGAGAATCTAAAAACTTCATATATTTCAGATTATTGGGAAATCTAAACATTGATTTTATTATTATAATCATGCAATTGTAGAATTTCGTATCCAATAGCAATCTGACAATTATAGATCTCGGGTACATCGCAGTAATACAATTGCTGGTCGCGGAATTGTTGCCACCGTGATTTTGCAACAGCCAATTCTGAATTCAATTATACGGTACAAACTGCAGATTTTGCATACGATTATAATAACAAGTTCATAACTGAAGATCCTGAGAACAACCGCAAGTACAATTTTGCGATCGAGAAACTCAACGATGCAATCGCGAATACTCGGATTCACGGGATACGAGGTTTACAGGATTACGAGGAGACACGAGGAGGAGAGAGAGAGAGAGAGAGAAAGAGAGAGACGGGGAGGAGAAGAGGGAAACGCCTGTCGTTCACAAAAATAAAGACACGATCGTCGAATTTGCGCAAGCGTGAGGCGACTTCGCTGCCACGGTTCGCCGTTGTATCGAGCCGGTGGCTGGAGTACCAGCGAGTACAGACGGATGACGGATACACCAACACATGGAGACGACGAGCCCCCCATCGGACGCCCCCATTGGACTACCCAATCAGAAAATCAATTGTAGGTCGCCGCCGCATTAATCGTTCGATCGACCGACCGTTCACCGTCGTCGCACTAATTATTTAGTTTTCCATCGTTGTTCGCGGTTTGTCCCGACGTCGACCCCACGGAAACCATTTAAACGTGTGCCGCCAACGAGAAGGGCGCATTTTACTACCGACTGTTCCCTGGGAAAAAGTCAATAGGCGACATAATCCGCACAATTTGCACGATCGATTACATCGAATTAATTAATAATAATTAATAAATATAAATATAAATATTAATAAATTAATAATAATTAAACTTAATGCTCATCCAATAGTAATTCTTAAGAGAAATTGTTAACGTGTAAGAAATTTTTTGTATATAGAAAAGCTATTCTTGAATTTTGTTTTAACTTAATTCTTGTACTTCTTTTAATTAAAATTATTAATTTTAAGTCTTTACAAGAGTATTTTTTGATACAAAGAATGAAATAAGTATCATCAATCGAATGGGTCAATCTTTGTAGGAACTCGTAATCAGCATTTATGTGAAATTAAGATATTAATGTAACGTGTTAAATATCATTATCTCTAAGGACGAGTGAGCCTTGCCAAAATCGATCGAGATTAATTGACTTCGCGAAGTCATGACATCTGGATTTGCACGAGTTGGGAAACTCGAGGAAACCTCCTCTATCTGATGTTACAACCGGAACGGCATTAATTATACTCACTCATTAACGCGCAGCACAAGTTACGCCCCTCGACAAGACGATTGGATGCATTCCTCCTAAAGATGAAACTCCAGGAACTTAATTACCGAGAGCGTTAATGTAGAAAAAAAATCAACTTGAAGCGAATAAATATTAAAACGAAAATAAAATTAAGACGAAATCTAATAAAAATGTAAAAAATTCAGATGGAAAACCATCTATAACATAACTTGATTCAACCTGGAACAACGTAAAATGAAAATAGAGTACAATATTCTGTTAATTAATATCACAACCCCCCCCCCCCGCCCCTCACGGCAAATATTAGAAAAGAAAATAATTTATATGAAAATTAAACAACGTGAAACACTTTAATATCGCAGAAAAATTAATAATTTAGACTTGTCGACGTAACATGTAAGATGCATATGCGTCTTTCGATATTCCTAATACATGACTTTGTCCAGCTTTCATCTCGTCGTGTCGCGGCAATTTCTCCAGCAAGTACCAACTTGAAACGGTAATATGAGGTCTCCCGCGAAATTGGCGTAATTGGCAATCTGCACAATTAGTCCGCGTCTCTCGTCGAAGGGAAAGACTAATCGTCGTAAGCCCCGTGGGGCTGAATTCCCCCATTAACTCTTAAACGACGCTCGAAAGTCCCACTTGCTTCCGGTAAGAATCAATAATGTAAGATATGGCGTATCAAAAATTAAACTAATTATTACACCATTATGATGTCAACGGATAAATAAAATTGTATATAATCAAACGTACAGGAGTTTACGTAATCGCGACGTGAAAAAAATCGATTAAAAATTAATCGAGAAATCAAGGATTAAGAAACAAAAATTAATCACGTCAGAAAAATCGGGCTCCCTCGTCCATTTCGCTGGCTGACCAGAAACACGTCGAGTGTTTCGCAAACTGCGGGAAGACAAATCGTGTAGAAGGCGGCCGTGACTGAGACGCAAGGAAGATGAGGAGGAAACGGGCGAGTCCGAACTTGTTCGAGTTGACGTTAATTAAGTTCTCGACAGGCCCGAGTGCCCCGATAAGAGCAGAAGCAAACTCGCAAGAGGGATCCAAAATCAATCTCCACAAGGCTAAAATTTCGAAATCAGTTATCGCGGCATCTAAAAAAGAAAAGAGATGGGTAAAGAGAAGGCGAGCTAGCGAGCGAACGAGAGAGAGAGAGAGAGAGAGAGAGAGAGAGAGAGAGAGAGAGAGAGAGAGAGAGAAGAGTAGTA